AATAAATAATGCCTTAAAAGACAATGTTCACTAATACTCTCATTTGGGTTTATAAAAATAGCGAGTGAGTGTCCGTCCTCAATTATATACTATACATATTCATGTTAAACATTTATGTAAACAGATGAGTTCCACTGTATTATTATCTCACACAACGAAGTTGGCCAGGACCTGTTGGAACGGTTCGTCTGTTGGTCCACTCCTTAGGGGCGGGGTCCGATGTTATCAATAACTATGTAGACAAAACCTATACCAGACACACACAAAAGAACTCAAGTGTGCCCATATGAAATCAAAATGTGTGTTAGAACTAGATGTGTACGAAAATACAGATGTTAACAGATTACATGTAATTAGTTAATTGAAATGAGGACCAATAATTATAAGCAATTCTACTCTCTTTCGTACTAATCAGAAATGACTGTGAAATTGAACTGAATTGTTCATAATTATGCATGTGCTACTGTTTGTGACGTATGGGCACGTTTCTACATGTGCATCTCGATAAACTGCGCGGAGCAGATTATTGCAAGAAAACTGCTGTCGATTTGGGAAGCTTAATTGGTTGACGTCAGGTTATGTATAGAGAAGGCTCTGTAAATAAATCTATATCTGATATAGACTGTAAAATGTTCAGTAGTAAAATATCATTACCATAGTACAGGGGTCGTAGTGCTAGTATTACTGTCGATATATGCTATAATTATATTAAAATTTGAGTGTGACGCTTGCGGATCTTGCAAGAGTGAATTACCAAAACTACCCTTTCATTCAAATTGACCAAACCAATAGGGGTTGATGGAGTACAGTCGGAATTCATTAGGAATGCCAGATATAATTATGTCTATCCAAACTGGGTGATATTCTGCCAGTTATGGTCTTAATGGGAATGTACTGAATTCCAAAGCGCTACCGAATGCTTGTCTCAAACATTAACCACAACTGTCAATACTATCAAATAAGGACGTTCCTTATATTCACAGGATGTATTTGTGAAATGGTTATTAATATCTTGTGGATTCTCTAAAAACCTAAAGGACTTGTTTGATTTTTTACTCTCCTTTTACTAATCTCAGAAATTGAGTTCAGTTTTGTCAAAACATTTGATTTTTCCACGTTGTACAGATCAATCCCATATGATAAACGTAAGGAAACAATTAATTCCTTGATTCATGGGGTATTTGTTAATAAACGTGATGAACATTGAACATATGAATGTTCATAGTTGCAGGGCAATTTGAAAAATGAAAGTTTACTGAGAAAACAATATGTGAAATGCTGGACTTCCTCAGTGATAACATCTACGTAAACGATGGGCGTAAAACTTCAGACAAGAAGTAGGGCCAAAGTTCCTCGATTAAAGTTACAACATTCAAGGCCCCAGTAAAGCTTAAATCATGCGTTATGGTAGACATGTAGAGGAATTTTCAAATTCGACAAATATTATGTCTGATTTAATTCCACACGTTCCCAAACATTTTGACTACACGGTCCCGAACAGGTGAACAATTAACTAGCCATTGGTTAGGACGAGTGTCCACGGTGGGGCAGATACACACCTTTTCGTGAACACCTGGTATCAACAACTCTTTTATAGTGATTCCTGAACACAAGTATACGGAATTGTATAATCGACTCTGCTTTTAACAGAGGTTTCTTATGGATGTGTAAAGGACTTTCCGCATTTATTTAAAAAGGAAATGCACCAGTTTAGTTGCTCACGTATCAAAGTTATCTATGAAACTGTCATTATATTAAGAAATAATGAATGTAACTTGTCATTTGACATTAACAAGAAACCCATTATAGTATTGTAAGTGAAATACCAAAGATCTAACTTTACAGGGGCGGTGGGGTAGCCTAGTGGTTAAAGCGTTCGCCCGTCACACCGAAGAACCGGGTTTTATTCCCCACATGGGTACATTGTGTGAAGCCCATTTCTGGTGTCCTCCGCCACGATATTGCTGGAATATTGCTAAAAGCGGCGTAAAGCCCATCTCACTCACTCACTCTAAATTTACAATAATAGAATGTGCATAGTTATATTATTTATGTCAACAATACAATGTACAAACTACCCATGGGTCGCCAACAACTAAAGGCACACAACCAGAGTAGATACCATAGAGTGAGTGAGTTTAGATTTACGCTGCTTTAAGCAATATTCCAGCGATATCACTGTGGTAGCATGAGGCCATAGGGACTTACAGTACTACTGACTGACTGACTGAGTTTGGTTTTACGCCGCTTTTAGCAATATTCCAGCAACATCACGGCGGGGGACACCAGAAATGGGCTTCACACATTGTGCCCATGTGGGGATTCGAACCCGGGTCTTCGGCGTGACGAGCCAACGCTTTAACCATTAGGCTACCCCACCGCCCCTACAGTACTATCTAATAGGGTGCTACACTAAAATATCAAACACTTTCTTTATATGACGTTCTAGGCTGAGGATTAACTGAATAGTACTTATACAGTGTTTGGTTCTTGAATATCCCCAATAATGAAAACGAACGGTCCTGATTATGTACATGCAGCAAACAAGGGTTGTAATTAAACGACAAACCCATTCCCTTCATCATAACAAAAAAGGACTATGGCCTGTGAAACATTGCACATCGTATTGTGACTAATTATTCATCAAGGTGTTTGAACTGTCATAGAATGTAATCATAATGAAGACTCGCCTATTTGTTGTGTATACAGCAATTCAGCCCAGTGTCAACAGAATCTAACATTTAGGCACTAAGCATCGTATGCTACCTGACACTAATGGCCTGACCGAACGTGGTATTTGTTTTTCATTCCAACGCTTGCTCAAAACTGTTTTTATCAGGATTGCAATCTAATACATTCAGACCCGAAAGGTTTATATTAAGGAATGTTTTTTTTTTTTTATCCTACCGTGAACGTTTGGAGAGGTTCCTTATATGACCCAGGTCATAGTCCTTGGAAGTAGAGTGTTAGTTTTGCAGTTGTTGCACGCAACAGATCCAGGATTTGTTTATTTGTTTGTCTATATTCTTCATAAAAACGCCGGGTTCGAATCCCTACATGGGCACAATGTGTGAAGCCCATTTCTGGTGTCCCCCGCCGTGATGTTGCTGGAATATTGCTAAAAGCGGCGTAACACCAAACTCAGTCAGTCAGTCATAAAAACGACATACATGGGAAACGAACACTCTTCTTCGTAAAAGGTACAATAACGTAAATGCAGCTGTGAGATGTGGTAACCTCTCTGCGACGGGATTCTTTAAATCAAATGATGGGGTGAGATAAGGTTGTATCCTGGTACCTTTACTGTCTTATTATGCACAGACGCACTATGTACACAGTTTATGTAGTGATTTTATTGATGAAGCTGTAAAATCATTATCCATGCTTTTATTTGCTGATGATGTCGACATTCGTGTGGATAGTGTTATAATTTGCAGATATTGGGACTTACAACACAGATTGGTTAAGAAAGGCGGAAAAGTTGCAACATGTGAAAAATGGATTATTGGATTCGAATAATTAGAAACTATGCCTTGTTACTAATACCTCAAAATTACGTTTATATGCAGACATATATTCTCCAGAGCATGGGAAGTACTTTGTAGACAAGCAGAAAAGCCTACACATAGTCTCAAGAAATGTATATGCCGATTTAAAGCGATACATGATTATACGCTATTTAAGATATTTGATGTTCAAATTGAACGTTATCGTGCACGCAGAAATATCGGGACCTTCACAATTCTGTAAATTAGTTCTTGGTGTGGGTTATCCTTAGCCAAAACTATTTTCATTCATCCTGGAAATGAAAACTGGAATTCGTCTGTTCGAACATTTTTACTCAGATGTGGATGTTGTAAATCCTGCTGGGTTCTGTAAGGTATCCGTTGTATGGTGATCTATAGTTCATTTATATCGTATTGTTAGTGAGGTGAGGTGAAATTGGGTTAACGTCGTGCTTGAGAATATTTCGCTCATATGACGACGTGCATGCGTGTGTATGTGTATGTGCGGCTGCTTGTACTAGCCCAGACTTAAGCTGGTTTTATAGTGCTAGCCCACTGAGATACCATGTCGCAGTGAAGCATGAATACCCCACTCAGAAACATTATACTGACTCCGAGCCGACCAGTCCTCGTTGTACCCATTAATGCCGAGCGCCAGGCAGAGACCAACAAGTACCATATTTTAACGTCTTTTGGTATGACGCGGTCGGGGATCGAACCCGCGACCTTCCGCTCTCCGGGAGGCGGTCATATCGTATTGTTAAGTATGAAGATATATTATTATGGTTACATACTAGTTTTAAACACTGATAGTGTAGTTTGTATGAGACCTTTCTATAATTTAATATTATGTTTAACTTGTCATGATATGGAAGAAATACTGCCGATGTGTCTATAATCCTCACTCACTCTTCACTCGATGAATCCATGTTGGCGAATCTACGTCATAAGATCAGTCTAAAAACTACTCTACAATGAAAGTCGTTACCACCTTTATCGCTAGAAACCGTAGAGCTACAAGTTATTGCTGTTGGTCGCACCGTGAGCACGCACCTTTTCCTCCATGTACGTTCCACATCACTGGGAGCATTTTAATGAATACCAGGCATTTAAACGTAGTACAATCGTCATTTAACTCGTCCACTGTACCGGTAACCCAAACCAACAATTTTGTTTTTAAAAATTGAGAAAGGAAACAGGTAAAAATACATTGCCAATAGCTATACAAAATTAGATAAAAGTAATCGATCAGTCCACGTTTTGTGCAAAATTATAACAACACTATTGCCTCATTGCAAAAAGATATAAACAAAATGTTTGTCCTGCGGTCTGCCTATTTCGAAAAAGTATAACCTGTTGAGCAGGAACCATCATGACAATCCTTACACCAGCGTTTCTTTTACTGTCATATCCAGCATTCGTATTTGTACCGTAGTGTATTGTATAATCAGCCATGTCTCCAGATTGTTGAACCAGTCACCACATAACAACATATACTGACACTACATCACTTTTATTTTCATTTGATCCTCCGCACTATTTTTCACACGAAATATGAAACGATACCCCCAACCTAACAATGAAAACGTAACATGTTTTATGACAGTTGAATATAAGCATTGTATATCGTCTTTGGCTTGCGCAAATACCCCATAATGAGAACATATCTGAAAAAATGATCCATGCTACAGGTAAAATATTAAACATTATTCATTACACACACTAAATTGACATACAATCATCGTTATGCCCAATGCAATCAGAAGGTACAGGACTATTGAGTACACCACTACATCTGAGTGCAACATCACTTGCAACACTGAATGCAACACTGCAGATCCCAACCTATGCGGTTCCTGAGGATGTGTGGACAGTCTGTACCTTTTTCCGACGCCCCATAAGCTGGCGTGGTTTCTGCTGTAAGACTAAGGCGCAGGGCGGCTGGCAAGTTACATACACAGTCCTGTTACAACCGCTCTCGTAAGAGGACATAGCAAGACATTGAACACCTGGGACTGTTGTGTCGTGACAAACCCACAACCTTCAAATATTTGAACACGACATTCATTCACATACATTGGGATGACAGTTCTAGTGTTGTCATCACCTCTGTGTGTTCACCTCGACTCAGGCTATCTTGAACTGGAGCAGGAGGAAGAAGTAGGTCATGAACAGTCCACTCAGCTGAAACAGGAGACACACAGAAGTATCAACGACAACTCTGTACAGAATATTGATGGTGGAACTGAAAATGTTATTTGTTCATTACACTGTTCAGTTTGCTGACACAGGAGGAAATGTCGATAATTCGTTGTGTTTATAACGATGTACGGTGTTTATATGATCCATAATACTCTTTTTTAAACTCTGAAACAAACATCTCAGCAATGGATCCTGTTTTTGTTTTATATTATTTACTAATGCAGCACGGTGAAGTTTGCAGTTGTATGCCTTGTGAAGAACACATTAAACTGCTCGTTTTGACTGTTTTCTGACAGAAAAGGTGAAGATCTTAAAGAAGTAGTTTAAAAATATTTCTATGAAAACTATTGAAATTCCTGAACTGTCCATCAGCAAACTTTAGCACAGTCGTTCAACTTGATGGTAGTGGTGTCATGCTGTGTCATGAGGCATCATTTACAGGTGATACCATCTTTTACATACTGTATTCCTCATTCAGCCTCATATTAGTAAAATACTATTCAAATTAGAGTATGCCAAACCCACTCAGGGTTATAAACCTTTACGGGATTCGGTCAGAATAATTCCGGACCACAAATTTGCTGGTCAGGTGGATGCAGCCTGTGGCACGGCTCCGATGATATGTCATTGTGAGCTGACGATACCAATAAGCAATGTTTGCATTGTCACCAAGCCATACTTACGGTGAGAATGAACTCTTTAGTGATGACAAAGAAGTCAATAGCTGTAAACCCAACGGATGTGCCTGTCAACTTGGATAGAAACAGGTTAAGCTGCAAGAAGAGTGATAACAAAGTAAATATAGTTGCTCCATTTGCATAATTTCAGCTCGGGATGATTACGGAGATTCTCAAATAGAAACTATTGACAGTCTGTACGCCGAGATCGATGAGCCATCACTTAACCAAAACCGTATACAATTGTCCTTACAGTATATAACAAAACTATATTCTAACGAGTCTAACCCTGCATTTAACTATGTTTTTAATCCTCTTTATGAGGATCTGTACAAGAAGAAGTCATTTCTTATTCCGCCTCTAGGAAATAAGAATAAAACCTAAAACAAGAATTTAATATATTGAAAAGGAACTATAATACATACAAATCCTTATTTACAGAAGGAGGGTGGCGCAGTGGCTTGTGCCACTGTCATTGGATCCAGATTACCAGACGATAGCTCTATTTTCACTGTCGAGACAAATGCCATATAAACAGCGCTTAAATATATTAAAAAAACACCCTAAATGTAAACAATATATAATATTTTCTTTCGTGTCTTCAGGCTATAAAACATCCCACTTGCAAAGATCAACTTTTAATCAAAATAATTGAATTATATAATGATCTTGCCACTGGCCAATACGACATCGTCTTCTGTTGGTTACAAAGTCATTAGGGAATCTCTGGTAACACAGTGGCCGATTTTGCTGCTAAGGCAGCACTCAACACATCTGTGACACCACTTCCGATCCCATACTCTGATTACAAAGCTGTCATTACATCTCATATAAGTGATCTAATGCAAAAGAGGTAGGACACTCAAGTAGGCATCAATTCATTACATGCAGTTAAACCAACTATTGGTTACACCTACTTGGGTTGTCAGTCCAGATTTGAAGAGGTCATTATACGGCGATGTCGTATTAGCTTCAGCAGATACGCTCATGAATATTCATTGAAAGGTGAGGATCCTCCGTTTTATATCCCCAGTGATGAAATTAAGAATCACGGTCAAGCATGTCCTGCTTGACTGTGTTGATTTTTCCATTACAAGGGACAACTATTTCAATGTAAAAACGATGAAGGATCTTTTTAATAATGTACACGTTTGTTTAATTATTGTTGTTTAAAAAAGAAATTGATTTAATTGATAAATTTTTATTTTGTTTTGTAATTAATAGATGAATTTTAAATGTTAGAAAGAAACTTTGACAGAAGGGCAATACCTTCAAAGGGAGTTTGAAGTAGCGTAAAATGATTGTCCCCATCTGGCAGGGTACGTAAGTCCCCCTTCATTAAAAGATGTTTTCATACTACATGTTTTTAGTCTTAGAATATGTGCTCTTTTAATGTTTGGCTAAACTGGAATACAATCGCCAACGACTTAAGGGATGATGTAAATCCAGCTAGGGTCCATACAGGTAGCAAAAGCACTGTAAGTTCCTATGGCCCCTAGTATGGTGATCTACTTTCAGTTTTTGGCGATCTACAGCCTGTTTTTATATTGTATTGTGTTAATAGTAAGAACATTTTAGATTTAAACACTCGTTTTATATCAAAATTTGTCATGTTCTTGTGACTTTTACTGCCCTTCGTCGACAGGTTTATATAATCCAACTCTGCATTCATCATATATTCAAAACTCTTTTAGTCACGATATGGCTGAAATATCGCTGGTGTGACTAACCGGTTAGTTCGTTCACATAGTGCGTGTGTGTGTGTGTGATTTTATTCCTACACTGGTATATATTGCCCAGTGCGGCCTTAAACGACAGACAAAAGGTGTTTGGTATGGTGTAAGTATCATATTTCGCATGAGAGAGATATGCATTTGCTTAATAGTCCATGAATACGAAGCTCATGGTACAATTCAGTATATATCATGAGTATGTGATTATACATCATACGGTGATGATACCAGATGGTTGCCAAAAGATATGCGTATTGTACCCGACCGATGGCACACGTAAAACCACATGCAAGGGCACATGCAAGTCAATACTTCACCTGGAAAAAAGCCATGTGCATATATTGTCAAAGAAAGAAATGGCATCAGATATTGTTTCGACATTATGTGTCATCGTCATTGATGTGTCAAATTAAGACAATCCCTCTGCTATCATAAAGGCTGTTGAAGACGATACTAAAACGTGGTACCTAAATGGTAACGTACCTGTCCCAGCTGCTCAACAGTAACATCCTGTGTTCCGATACTGAATATGTCATCCAAAAGGGAATGAGCCTGAAAATAGAGCTTACACGTATAAGAACAACCTGACACTTCAGTGAGTACCAACACACAGGTTCAGCCATGCAACTTGTTAAGTGGTGCGTGATATACACGGTTTACCAACATCTCTACTCTATCTTTGGATAGGTCAACAAAATACCTCTCCTAACATATGAGGGCTGGTACGTAAGACAACGATACCCAAGAAACAGCGTAGTGGGAATCTTGTGTAAGACGACATATTCAACAATTCAATGCATACATTTTGTTTTCTGTTAACGGGAGAACAAATAATCCTGTAAAAATAATTTCTCACACATTCAGCATTAAATAAAATATAACCTGACGATCAGTGATTTTTGAGAACACTTACTGTATAATGAACAGCTTATTGCTAATTCAAGGATGCACATAACACTACCTCCAAGCCAGAACACATCAACTGCTAGGACAATTAGTTCCGAGGTAAAAGGGCTGACGGTTCGTTGATAATTTGAGAGGGAACAAAACATTCGAGAAACATAAGAAGAATAACATGTTCCGGAACTTCATGTGAAGTCTGTATTTATGATAGAAAGCAGTCATTTTTGAGACTGATAAGCACGCATTGTGCGGGGAAAACAAGCTAGGTATGTTCAGATAAAATGATTAAGTGCGACAGTTCACTTTCACCAATGACACTCATGAAATTCACCTACCAGCAAGCACCATTGCATCTGTATATATCTGCATTGACCATGATCAAAGCCTGCCAACTCATTTTGGTGCATAGTAGAATCGACAAAGCTATCTTTATCGAGCAAACAGAGACCCATATGGCTGGCCCCAAAACTCCCATTGATTGTCTCGGGTAGGTTTCGTGAGCAGCTTTTATGAAAGTGTATTACGCTTTGACTTTTTATGGGTAAAGAAATGCTACTGCGAATGCTCACACCCTAGACCTAGTAAACCTGGGTTTACTAAAGAAGTCAAAGGCTCATGGGCCAAGACTTCCCACCATCTTCAGAACATGGAACTACGTGGACAAAGATGGTCAACATGATGACGTGATTCACAGTTGGTGCTGACTTTTGCACTTTCGTGAAACCACCAGCACCTTCTAGCATTAACAAAACAAGAAACATAATCAGAGCGAATGTCAACCTGCCAACTGTTTTCTTGCTTGAGACTCAACACACTGAACTTCATCACCATAGTACACTAGGATCTCAAACCCCACCTCAACCCCAAAACGGCCTCAACCCAATCACTGGATCCATATCCCACCCACCTATATCAAACCCCCATGTATCAAATAATGTAACGGCTGGACTCGTTACAACTGAAAATGGTCACTTACTGCATCATGGACACCGGAGCTGCACATTGCTGACACAAGGGTGCACATAACACTACCTCCAAGCCAGAACACATTAACGGCGATGACGAAAATATCCAGTGGTCCGTTGATTATTTGGTAGCAAACAAAACAGGCAAGAAATATGTCAAGAATGAAACGCACTCCAAGAAGCCATTTGAAGCTTCTATTTACGATATCCACAGCCTGGCACAGTTGGGTGTAGTGAAATCTCAGTTCTGTCAGCTGATCGGGGAAGTGTCCATCTGCTTCCTGGATCTGTCTTGATAAGATTTTTGCTAACTGTAAGAACTGTGCTCGAATGACTCGAGCAATTATGCTAATAAAAATAATCGGAAAAAGCCAGACACCCGATTGAAACATGTGTAGGACTATGTTGAAGATGATCACCCATTTGGACTCTGGGAATGGTCGGGCAAAAGCTTTAAGGTAAACCGGTGATATGGGTAAATCGTAAAACATGATGGTACAGAGAGCGGCAACGTTGAAAGTACCGAGAAACCATCCCGTTGCTGTACCAAGTTTCAAATATTGTGCTGGAAATTTAGAACCACAGCCCATGTTGTTTGTTGAAGGACACTGGAACACGGAATCCCAATGCTTGTAGAAGGAACGAAAGTGTGTAAGTTTCTGACATGCAGCGACTATGATAGCAGCACTGAGAGCACAAAGCAACACCCATGTCGTTAGAATAATCCGTAGTGGCAAACCCTCATCAAGAGGGAACACCCCAACTGCACATCGGCCAAAGTTGAACCACAGTAAGAGGAGAACGGTATAACAGTAGAGACGGTTGATGGAGCGCCACCATCCTGGTGGGTTGGTCTTGGAGGCATATGTTTCCGATGGTTCCACTTTGTTTTTCGCTTGTGTTGGATCGAAGTAAATCCCCATTATTTTCATTGACAGTAAAAGCGGTTTTAGTCTGTCCTCAATGGATGTGAAAGGATCATTTTCCCTTTCTTTATTTCGACCAGTTTGTGTAACGGTTCCCTTGTTCATCTTTGATGCCTGTGCAGACAAAACAAGACAGTTATGTTCCGATCAGAAGCGGAAATGCGACTCTTCCATGCAATCCGTAATCACTTCATCAATGCACTTAGCTTCACCAACCTGCAAGCGTTATTGCTATCAGTGGAAAAACAAGCCACCAGTACAGTCGCTTTTATCCAGTTTCACGTTGCTTTGTCATCCTGACAAGGGAGGTGTATTCAATATTCATTGTTGAACGGACATCCCTCGTCTATTATCAGAAATACGACCCATCGTATAACGAATCGAAGCCCAGCAAACAATACACCTGGGAATACTTCAATCAGCTTCGATCCCCATTAAGTCAACAATGACCATTCTCGTTGGGACATTGTTCTAAGTTATTATGGTCTAGCACGTATAACGAAAGGGTCACCATTCTAATACACCAATAATATCATTTGTTACCTTCAATGATCGATTGTAAATAGATGAGACTCATTCTATTATTTTCAATGTATCCGTTGACATTGTGAGACCATTGATTATGTTCCCTACCCGAACTGCTGTTAGCATTACAATTGCAACATACAAACTACAATTATATATCTCGAATTATTGATACATTGCCAGTACACTTTTCCGAAAGGGAGATGAGTGTGTATTTGTGAAGTACTGTGGACCTATTATGAACTGGTGATTCCGTCCTAGAAGAATTTGACACGTGGTTGTACTGAAGGCGTTCAAATTCGTAAACGATATTTTACCTACTTATATACACTGGTATATTCAATTATGTATCATTCATACACAGGAGATTGGTTATAATGTTGTCTATGCTATTTCTATTACAATCAATGTATGCTGTGTGACTGGGAAGGTTTAAAGGGAAAATGTAGTCGACTGAAACACGTTGATATAGGATGAGTTATAAATTCAAATTTGACGTTACATCATCAATATTGCAGTTATATAGTGACGAGAAGAGTTTTGTTAAATATATGAATTATCTGTCACAAATGACATTAAAACATTGCAAAATATTACAATTTGAGTCTAAAAAGTAACGATTTCAAATATCAAAACAGTCTATTTAACATAAAGATCAATATTATAGTTTATAGCATTAAAATATGAGCTATAGACCACCAGCAAGCAAAGCTAAGACCAGCTCAGTGGGGGTCATAGGGAGGGAGTTACAGTACCTATGCTTCCTGCATGAACCCCAGCAGGGTTTGAGCCATCACTTTGGTCGCTGGTAGTTGTAGACAAAGCTCGCCAAAACCATGTCGAAATATGAAAAATAAAAGTCAGGTTGTCTGCTATGTACTATTTGAACTAACATGTTATTCTATCAACCAGTCACGTGCCTTGGTCACATGAGAATGCGAGTGCACATGCGCAGGTCAGAGCGAGTGTAAATGTTCAAACGGGCCAGACGTGTGTCTCGCGGCTCTGAAAGCGAGACACGTGTTCGTTTAATTACCTCAATGAGATACAAATTTGATCTTTCTATTTACATTTATTAACATTCAGAAATTCGTTTCTGAGAAAAAATTGTGGCCTGAGGTGCTACAAATATAAACATTTGTCAACAACAGTTTTGACTGTGTAGGGGTATAATGGCGGAAAATAGCCAGTCGTGTGCTGAGGCAGTGAAAGATAAAGCGACCAAGTAAAAAACAAAGCCATCTAGATCAAAACCTGATGTTGGGGATAAAGAAAGTACTACCCCCACTTCTGTAAATAAGAACAGTGCAGAATCTGAAATGACAGATACTTTGAAGTGTATGCTCACTGAAATGAGAAAAATGCATGGAGGCATCTCGCCATTGTCGCAAACCAGGTGACAATATTTTGCAAGTCTATACGACTACATGGACGAGAACAGAGCAGGCCCTAGTCGCGAATATCAACCACAGGAGTACAAATCATTTCAATGGAAATCATGAGAAATATAAATGCCAAAAATCTGTAAATAGCAAAAGGCACCATTTCAACATTTGCCTAATATATCTGCCAAGTTCTGTTGAAAGATACTGAACGCTTTTCGAGTTGTGCACCGGAAATGAAGCCGACCAGGAAATAATAAATCACAAAAAACCTGCAAATAGCAAAAGGCACCACTTTGGCATCTGCCTCACATATCTGCCAAGTTTTGCTTAAAGATATTAAGAAGTTTTCCAGTTGTGCTCTGGAAACGAAGCCCACCCCTCCCTTTTGAAACTAAGTCCGAATCGTTTCCATGGAAACCAGAAAAATAAAAATGCCAAAAATCTGTAAATAGCAAAAGGCACCACTTAAGGTTCTGTTTGATATATCTACCAAGTTTTGTTGAAAAATATTGAACTGTGTTTGAGTTATGCTCCGGAAACGAAGCCCACCCCTCTTTAAGACTAAGTCCAAAACGTTTCCATGGAAACCGAGAAAAATAAAAATGACAAAAATCTGTAAATACCAAAAGGCACCACCATAGGTTCTGTTTGAAATTTCTACCAATGTTTGTTGAAAAATATTGAAAGGTTTTGGAGTTATGCTCTGGAAACAAAATGATTACGGACGGACGAGGTGACGACTATATCCCCCCGCATTACATGCCGTGGGGATAAAAAAGGGGAGGGGGAAGCAGTAACCCCACAGACATCAGAGTCAGCCATGGTATGTACGCAAGGTGAGCAAAGCTTTGAAACATGTAACTATCAGGCAGGTGAACTGACACGACAATTACATAACTGGGAATTAATCACATCAGATGATTATATCCTTGAGTGTGTAAAAGGTATTCGTCTAGAATTGGAAACTGTCCCTATTCAAATTGTGGAGCCAAAGCAAATATCGTTTTCTTTCAAAAAAATAAAATAATTGTTGATCAGATTCAAGATTTTCTCAAGAAAGGTGTCATCGAAGAAACAGCTGAATCAAATGATCAATTCATATCAAACATATTTTTAAGACAAAGCAAAATAGAGGATTTAGAGTCATTTTGAATTTAAAAGAATTAAACAAGTCTTTGAAATACCATCATTTCAAAATGGATACATTAGACACAGCTGTTACATTAGTAACAAAAGATTGCTATATGATATCAGTCGATCTCAAAGATGCCTACTATGCTTTCAATATCCATCAAGAAGACAGAAAATACTTGAAATTCAGATGGAATGGCATGTTGTATCAGTTCACTTGTTTGCCTAATGGTCTTTCATCAGCACCAAGAATATTCACCAAAGTCACCAAAGTGCTTTATTCACATCTCAGATCCAAAAATATCAATTGTCAAGGATGTATTGATGACTCAATATTGACATCCCCAGTTAAAAGCACATGTAAGAGCTATGGTGTGCAAGCTGTAAAACTGTCCACAGTGCTAGGTTTTACTGTAAATTGGGAAAAGTCTCAGCTAACACCTGTGCAGGAAATCAAATACCTTGGGTTCTGGTTTAATTCTAGAGAGATGCAGCTCTACATGGATGACGAAAAGGCACATGATATTGTTGATTTAGGTCAACATATCCTAAGAAAAGATAAGATCACGATACAGACTTTGGCAGTGTTTATTGGCGCTCGATTGAAGCTTCAAGCGCTAATGATTGGAATTTTGAGACAAAGATCATATTATCAGAGAAATAAAAGCAACAAATAAAATGGTGGATAGAGAATGTTAAGGGATCTAAAAAGAGCATGTTACCAGGTAACCCTGACCTTGTGTTACAAACAGATGCCAGTCTACAGGGCTGGGGAGGTTGCTGTGGCACTCAGATAACAAATGGAAGATGGTCTCAGTTCGAACAAGACTTACACATTAATGTCCTTGAAATGAAAGCAATTGTGTTAGCCATACAATCATTCAAACCATTGCTTCAAGGCAAGCTAGTCCATGTCCAGTCAGATAACTCGACTGCTGTGTCTTACCTGAAAGAGATGGGTGGCATCAAGTCTAAGCTGTGCAATGATTTAGCTCAGGACATTTGGCATTTCTGTATCAAACATGAACTCAATTTGATTATTTCCCACATTCCTGGGCTTCAGAACAGTATCGCTGATAAAGCATCAAGACATTTTTCAGACCGCACTGGATGGACATTGCATCCCACTGTCTTTAGTCAGATAATGAAAATAGATTCAGTGACACCAACAGTTGACCGATTTGCCTCAAGATCAAATCACAAATTGCCCAAATATGTATCATGGCAAGCTGATCCACACTCATATCATACTGATGCATATACTCTGGATTGGAGTCTGGAGACATTCTACTGTTTCCCACCATTTGCTCTTTTGGCCAAATGTATTCAGAAAATACAAAATGACAAAGCTACTGGTATAATACTAGCACCAGTTTGGCCTACACAGCCATGGTTTTCACACTTGATGCATATTCTTGTTGACAGGCCGATACTGATTCCCAGGGCCAAGAACAAGCTGTACCTGCCATGGGATCACCATGCCAGACCACCACTCAGCAAGCTGAAGCTGGACGTGTTTCCAGTATCCGGGAGATATGGAAGAAGGAAGGCATTCCGTCAGAAGTTACAGATGTTATGTTCGCCTCGTGGAGGCCCTCTACCAGGAGACAATATTCGTCATACTGGAACCGATGGGTTCGGGTTTGTGATTCAGAACAGATTAATCCAGTTCAGCCTTCTGTGAAATACTTACTTGATTTGTTTGTATCAATTATATGCTGAAGGACTCAGCTACAGTGCCATCAACACTGCGAGGAATGCAGTGTCAATGTTTGCTCCACAGACACCACCTCTGGGTGAGGAACCTCTCATAACAAGGTTTATGAAAGGAGTGTTTCAGGTTAGGCCTGTGAAGGCTAAATACGAGGACACATGGGATGTCAGTGTAGTTCTTGACTATCTAAGGAAATTGTCACCAGTTAGAAAACTTTCATTGACTCAATTATCTGTGAAGCTTTGTTGACTTATATTGTTAACAACAGCCCAGAGAGGGCAAGTGTTATGTTTTCTGGATATGGACAACGTGAACATTTCTGAGAAGTGTTCGAAAGTTACAGTATTGTTAACAAAACATGTGAAACAGTCACGTGTGAATGCTCAGCATTTGACAATTTGAGGCTTTTATGTGCATAAAACTGATCGAAAGATGGGTGAGAAGTGGCTTATGTTCTGCATGTGTTACAGATATTACAGCTTCAGTGTCTGCTGCATGAATGTTCCTGACAGCATTAGCACAAACGTTTGCT